AGTCCTCTACGTGGGTGACTGGGTCTGCAGCGCGGGCGGGCTGGGGGGTGCATCCCTGGTGTATACCCCATTTAAGAATGCCCAGCAGGGGCTCGGCAGACACAGTAAGCATAAAATAAGTATGGTTCTTGTCCAAGGCTGTGACGAACAGAAAAGTGTTGCAATCAAAGTCACATGGCTGTGACACAACATTTAAAATGTCACAACAGCTCCTACAACTGGGGGGAAAAAAAAAGTATCACAGCCAGTGCTGCACAGGCACAACCAAAGCCCTGTGGCCAAAGCTTCCCATGTCCCAAAGGGATCGGAGCAGCCGTGCCCCAGGACCTGACTTACCACTCTTGGCAGGTAGAGTACTTAACAAGGGGCAAGGATTAAGTGGAACCAGTCCCATCCAAGTCTTTGCCCTCCCAGGGGTCGTAAGGGACTGGGCTGCACCAATAGGCAAACCACAGCTCTGGACCTGTATATTGTGACGTACGCCTGGCCCAAACCCGCTATACGTCAATCACACGTGACTATACACAAGTCTGAGCCGAGCATGAGCGTCACAAGGACGTGGTGATACCACTCTCAGCCTCACCCTGCACAGAGATTTTCCAGCTCGCGGGACACAATCTCAGGCCAGCAGACAGAGCGATCGTCACCAGGGTTGGTTAACTCCACAGTTGACCCTTTACACACCAAACGTTCGCTGCCACCATGTGTTTTTTACCGGAAACACAGACCGTACCCAGCAAATGCTGCGACAATTTAAATCACTTAAACAATGCCTATGATATCGCTGTCCTCTCAGACAGGAATATGACAGGATTCACTATATAGTAGCGCTCTTCACAGAGACAAGGATACTTTAAGTTCGTATTTAGAGCGTAGAGATAAGCTTAACGATGTTTAAGATCGTCCTTTAATGAAAGAAACGGTGCCGAAAATATACAGAAAAAGATATTCATAAAAAGAGACAAAATATATATAACAGTAAAATAAAAGGGAATAAAGGTGAATACTCAACAGTCCTGGGTTTTGGAGTTCTGACAGAGTTCAGAGTTGTATAAGCAAAGGAGAAGTCTGAAGGGCTCTTCTTCAAGCAAGCTTTCAGCAGATAATGTCCAGAGATTAAAGGGGAACTCTTCTGCGATGTTAAGACTTAGTTTCTTCCTTGATGTTTTAAAACAGGGGCGCCCACAAAAAAACCTGCATTCAGGGGCGGGAGGGGGGCATGGCTGTGCATTGAAGTCAATGGCACTGCAGCCCCGCCCCTCACCCAGAACGCAGGCACATTAGTGCCTGTGTTCCGGTCCAGTGCGATCTGCAAAAATGCTCTAAGCACTATTTTTGCAGATCGCACTGGACCGGAATGCAGGCACTAATGTGCTTGCATTCCGGGAGCGGGCATAGGGTATGGCTGCGGTGGTATTGACTTCAATACAACCCCACGCCCCTGAATGCAGGGAGTCAGTCGGCTTGCATTCCAGCACGTTCTAGAGGCACCGGCATCCTGTCCTCCCGCGGTGCTCGTGTGGTCGACGTTGCACATGGGGGAGGTGTCCTGCCCCTTTCCGTCTGCGGCGTCTAACACATTCAGCTGGCAGACACACGAGCACCGCGGGAGCATAGACGTAGCCATCTCGTTTTGCGCCCGAGGCAAGAAAAAAAAAACATGCCCCCCCAACAGGTGTGTGATCACCCAGCGCCTTGCCTCCAAGATATTTTTTTATTTAATTTATTTTAGTGTTGGGGGGGGGGGGGGTCGGGGAAATATTAGGGGTCTATACAGCCCCCTGATATTTCCCTTTTAAAATAGAAAAAGAGATTGAGGACACAAAGTCCTCAATCTCTTTTTCTGCAGCCTCTATTCTAAATGAATGGAAAGCACAGAGGCTTCCCATTCATTCAGAAACTATTTTACTATCATCCAGTTTCTGAATGGGGAGGAGCTTCTGCACAGAGTGCTACTCCCCATTGAAAAACTCATGAATGAACAGGAAGTAATGTAAATCACATCCTGTTCATTCATAACTGGTGACACATAGTGCTATGTGTGCCCAGTTATTTACAAACACTCAGCTGATCGCTCCAGTGTTTGTCCTGCACAGAGGATAGGAACATATCACTGATATGTACCGATCCTCCGCCGCTCGGCCACGCACACAGGGGGGCTCAGCTTCTTTTCTGGATCCCCGCTTCTCTCCTGGGTAGATCCGAGAAGTAAAAGAAGCACTTCAGCCGCGGGGACAGCGGAAGAGGGAGCGCGGTGAGGAGAGCCGCCGGCTGACAGATCCTGGCCGAGCGTCTCTTTCCTCACTGCTGGGCATTACTTTTATGATAGCGGTTCCCTCTTCCAAAGCGCTTTGTTCACTTCTCCTCGGATCCCTGCTGCACACAGATGGGGGAAAGCAGTGGGGATCCAGAGAAGACCCAGGACGTTGCGATCACTGGTAGATCGCGATCGACCTCATGGGCACCCCTGTTTTAAAACAAGAGCCATCTCTAGTGGCTTGACAGTCATATTTTATTATCCTTCTATGGGGGGTGTCACAGAGCCAGTCCCTAGGGCAGGGGATGGAAAGCAAGGAGGAGGATAACCCTTAATTTTACACAATCCCCACCCAATTCCCAATTATGAAATGCAGCTGATTTTGTAACTCAGGTTTATGACTTTCGGGTGAATGCTGGGTTCCTACCTCTACCAGACTTGCTTGTGTTTATATTAACTTGTCCACTGGTAATAGATGAGTGCCTGGTGACATGCCTTTAATTAGGGACAGCCATAAAAGGCTCAGAGGATTCACTTTTGCTGGGAGGCAATAAAAGATCACAGGCCAGACAAGTAGATCTCTGTTCTGTGGAAGGCCTGGCAAATTACTAAATGAAGGCCTGCATTTGCTCTAGACTGGGGGGGACAAAATAGTGCTATTTTTTAATATTCAGATTCACCCCCATTATCGTCACATATATCACCATATATACATGCAGGGGCAGTCATTTGCCCTAGCTACAGGTAACCACTGCATATACATTCAGATAACGCCAGAGAGCTTTGGCTCCTGTCATTGCTTACAGGCTAGTGGCCCCAGCTGCCCAGAACCACCTGTAATTCTGCCACGAGATTCCACCACTAAACATAAAAGCCCCGTGTGAATGAGGCCGCAGGTCCGTTCACACTAGCTTGGTCCGCTGCAGCACATTAAACACGTACATTTGCATGCTAACTTTTGTTAGGGCAGCTTACTGGTTTGAATAGGCTGCCCAATGCACCCTAACAGGCCAAAAACTGTCCATGCAGCATTTTTGACAACACAACATGTTAAGAGTGTTGTGCTGCTATGCACATATGCTGAGAGGGTGCCATTCAGAATAAATAGCACCACAGCAAACCAACATGCAATGGTGTGAACAGGCCGTTAATCAGCTTTATAGCTTAGCAGAAGATGAAAGTAAAGCTGGGTATACAGGGTTAGAACTTTGTTAGCAAAAAGGAAATTTGTTTGAGGTTCTATTAATGTTGTCAAATCAACAATTCAACTGCGGTGCCTCAAAAAAAAAAAAATCAAAAAAGGAGCAGGATTTTAAATTTGTCACAAACAGAATTTTAATGTGGTTTGTGGTTGCGAAAATCCATTCAGTCCAACATCAAACGTTAAAACCAAACCGACTTTCAAACACCACATGTCAAGTCTCTGATGGCATTATCAAATGTTCTGATTAGATTTTTTTGAATGAATGTTCGTACAAGAATCTACCAGTTTGGGGAAGAACTACCGGAGGTGCAGCCGCCCCCAGGGCCCACTGACAGGGGAGAAGGTGGAGGCCGGGGCCCAGCCGCACCGGTCAGATGGTTTAGGCCAGAGCCAAGCAGCACCAGTCCGGTGGTGAAGGCCAGGCCCAGCAGCACCGCTCCCGCAGCGGAGAAGGCCAGGCCCAGCAGCACCGCTCCCGCAGCGGAGAAGGCCAGGGTCCAGCAGCACCGGTCCGCAAGTGGAGGAGGCTGGGGGCCAGCAGCGGCAGGTAAGAGGAGCTACATGTGCAGGGAAAATGGACCGCTGACCAGTCCACCCGAGACCCTGCAGAGCCCACCATGAAGAGTCTTAGATGGGCTGTGCAGATCTATGATGGGCTCTGCAGGGTCTCTGGTATGTATGGAGTCTCAGAATCCAGTGCGTTACTAAGCCCTGAGTCCAGTGCATTACTAAGTCCTGAGCATTACCATGTCCAGTACATTACCAAGTCCAGTGCGTTACTAAGCCCTGAGTCAAGTGTGTTACTAAGCCCCGAGTCAAGTGTGTTACTAAGCCCCGAGTCAAGTGCGTTACTAAGCCCCAAGTCATTGCTATGCTTGATGCAGGGACCCTGTGTGGCCCTGAAAGCTCTTGTGTAACTGACAATAAGTCTACGAATTTTGATCCTACAAGGATTTGGTGTGCTGCTAACGTTTCTGCAATTATGTGTATTTGGCGGCACCATCCGCAGTCATTCCAAGCACCCCTCCCCAATCACGGGGTCATACCGGTAAGGAGTGCAACTAGCATTTTTTTTTCAGTGCGTTACTAAGCCCAGAGTCCAGTGCGTTATTAAGCCATGAGTCCAGTTGATATACTGCTCTGCATTGCGGCATAATGTATTGTTGGGAATCTGTAGTCCCCCTACAGCCAGTGCCATTCTGCATCAATGTTCTCTGTACAGCACTGCAGTATATGTCAGAGCTATATAAATCTATAATCGTGCGAGATTGCAGGGGGACATTAGAGTGTAAGCTCCTCTGGTGCAGAGACCACCAGGGAGGTGGAGGGGCAGTGAGATAACCTGCCATAAATAAGCCTGCAGTATAACAGGGAGTCTAGAAATGTCTGCAATATCCCAGCCTCAGATAACAGACATTTCTCTATACCTCAGCTATCACGTCTCTTTCTTATCCCGACAGGAAAAGTGAGCGCGTTTACTCAGAAATACATCTCCCACAATCCTCTGTAGTGTAGTGACGATGTCACCGCTCCATGGAGCCAATCAGAACCGCGCCCAGCGGCCCTCTCCTCCCGCCCAGTGTTTTAGTGCTGCAGACCAGGCGCCATCTTGTCTCGGAGAAATAAACTGCCGCCGTTGTGTTGAAGGCGACCTAAGAGGGCAAGATGCTGTATCTGGAGGATTACCTGGAGAGTGAGTGGGGATGCAGGGCGCCATGGCGGCGCGGGGTGCTCTCCGTGAGCTAGGGGTGCGGGCTTTAAACGTGGACGGAGGTGGCGCCGCCTAATAACCGCCCTCTATGTCTCTCCCTCCCCTCCTGTCTCTCCGCAGTGATCGAGCAGCTTCCCATGGATCTGCGCGACAGGTTTACGGAAATGCGTGAGATGGACCTGCAGGTGCAGAGTACGTGACAAGCACCCGTCTTCCCAACTGTCTGTTAAAACTGATCAGCAGTTTATTGCGGAGGCCGCTGTTTGTGTGCTCACTACCGGATGAGTGACGCTAATAGGACGTGAGCGCTGCTGCTAGGGGAGACCGGCTTCCTGCTGTGTTGGTGTTATACTAAGGGCCAGCAGCAGGGGGCAGTGGTGTTCCCTCTTCATTGATATCACTACATCGTGCATACCACCACCCAGTACAATCAGCAACCTCAAGTGAACTCATATCACATGTACATCAATATATATATTAGGGTTCATCATCATGTTTAATGTAGCCATTCCAATCCAAGTAACATATCATTAGTAGGGTTGAGCTCATGTTTAGTTTGAACCTGGACTGAGCCTGACCTCTGAACCCGAAGACTCCATTCACATCTTGGCATCTCATCACTCAAAGCTGAAGGTGCCCATACACTGTATGATTATCATAGAGAATCGCGGGAAATCCCGCGATAGTCCGATAATCTCAAAGTGTATGGAAGGCGTGCAACCGTTTCTACTGTACGGTCGCACGACTTGTATTTTGCGCATGTTCGAAAACCAGCCGAGAATCGTACAATTTTCGGCTGGTTTGTAGCATGATTTTGAGATAACTGCCGCATGGGCCGGTGTGCGCAAGCGCACACTGCCCGTTCAGCATTGCAGTCATCGGAAGCTCGCCCCTCAGCAGGGTGGGCTTGCGATTATCGCAAGTACGATCTGCCTGTCCAAGATGGGCAGATCGTACGCTTTTTTAATTACTTTACAACCCTCGCAAGACAAAAGTCTTGCGAGGGTTGTAAAGTGTATGGCCACCTTAAGAGAGACAAAACATTCAAGCCAGGAATTCCATTAATTTCTATGGCCCCGTTCACACCTTGGCATTTCATCCCTCAAAGCTAAGCGAGACAAAACACTCAAGGCAAGTAATCCCATTCATTTCTATGACCCCTGTTCACACCTGAGCATTTGTCCAACAAAGTTTCCCATTGAAGTCTATGGGACCAGAAAGCGCTGTAAACTGCCATAAAGTAGCTCATATACTTTTTCCAGCAACAGGCGTTTTTCTGTGTTTGACAAAACACTCAGATGTAAACAGGGGCCATAGAATTGAACGGGATTCCTTGTCTTGAGCAATTTGTCGCACTCAAGACAAGCGAATGGGATTCCTTGTCTTGAGTGTTTTTTTGCACTTACCTTTGAGGGCACAGTCAAACCATATCCAGTGGGTTCTGGGGTGGTCCGAGCCCGGAACACACTGGATCGCATAGATCAGTCTGGAGTGAGAGGGGGCATGGTGGTGCCATTCATGTGACTGACACCTAAGGCACACCCCCAACCCACAGTGCCATCACCTGCAACGGAACGCGAGGTACAGGAATGCCCCCCGTTCCGGTGCAGTGTGATGGGAAAAATTGGTGCTTGAAGCATTTTTTTCCCGATCGCACCGGAATGGAGGGCTTTCCTGTACCTCGTGTTCCACTGGGGGTGGTGCCATTGATATGAATGGCACCATCACGCCGCCTCGCACCCCAGGACGCAGTCCAGCCTGAACTATGCGATGCAGTGCGTTACGGGCTTTTAACACACTGGATATGGTGTGACTGGGCACTGAGCGACAAAATGCCTAGGTTTCAAAGGAAGCTCCTTCTGCCAAATCAGCTGCAGGAAATTCTCCGCCTGCATGTAAGTAAAGGAGTGGGATACTGTGAAATCATTGCCCCTATATGGCCACATGGCTATATTTGGTCCATGACCATACAAGGCCAGTCGTGTCTGTTTATGTGCAGCGCTGGGACAGGGAATTCCTTGCACTGCAGTGGATTGGACAGTTGGACCCATCTCCCTTTTGGGTTCAGGGGAGCTCGTGTTTGGACCAGGTTCTATCCGAACCTGAGCTCATCCCTATTAAATAAAAAATAATCTCCAGTGTATGTGCTGCACCATCCACATACTTTGGATTCAAGACTATCAGGGTGAAGAGTTTGGAGAAGTGAACAATCTAGGACAACATAGTTGATTTGGAAAAATTCTCCAATTATCTAATTTATTTAAATGATCCCACCCTTGCTCTTCACAAATCTATACTTACCGAGGGGTGCTGCTTCACTGTTTGTAGACATTCAGTGCTGCAAGTCTCCCTCCTGGTTGCCTCCATCTCCCAGCTGACATCTATGGGGCTGTAATGTGCAATTGCAACCAGCATAGGGAGTACTGTGGCACTGCAATGTAAACAATAGAGGAATCGTGCCTGTCAGATCTCGGTAAGTGCAGATATGTAGAGGGGGGAGGATGGTATTGTTTAGGTCAGGGGGGTGCAAAAAGGATAAGTGCACTTATTCCTCAATGGAAAAATCATAAATACTCTCATCGTCTGAACACAGAAACACAGGCTACGCTTATGTTTGTGGAATAGATTTTGCACGCATTGATGGTTTGACAGATGCACTGACTCATGCACAAGGGTGCCTGGGCCTGTTCAACATAAAATGCAGGTGTATTTCCCTGCCTGGGTGCTGCATACTGCTGCCCATAGAAGTACATGGCTGAGTGTGGCTGTAGTTGGGTATCTGCTGGTACTTGTATAAACGCATGCATAGACATACAACCCTGGGTGCAGACAGTCTGCATTAAGAGGAGTACTCTTTAGGCATGCGTGTGCTGACACAAGTACCAGTGTATACCCGCATACAGCCATTGATTTCAATGGGTGGAAGTACGCAGCACCTGTGGCAGCCAGGCAGGAAACTATGCTTCCATTTCACAATGCACAGCCCCAGGCACATATGTGCATGAGGCCTTAAGAACTATAAATGATATTATGGGCACATCACCAAAGTCTTAAGGAGTGAGGAAAGGGTAGTATCCTTGTCAGGTGTTTACTGCTATCACTTTCTGTATTGCAGATGGTGTTCTACCACAAAGGGAGGGAAGGGAACTCTCCAACAGCAAAACAGACAGAAATAAAAAAAAAAATGCATTTCTTTAGTAAATTAGGGGGAGGCTAGAAGCCCTGTCAGATTTTAACTTCTGTTCCTGTTGAAGACTTTCCCTCACTTCATGTCTGGACAAAGTGTTATCAGCAGGACAGTGAAGGTAATTCTCTGTAATAGAGCTCGGGATAGCAGTAAAGAAGTTCTAATGCTTCCCTATTCTATCCAAAAAAAGAAAAAGGCTGGCTTAACATAAACTTTAAACATACATTTTCTATGCAATAAAATACTGATATCTATGTAGGGTCTTGCTGCAGATTCTGTGTAAAGATATCATGTAATGGTCCGTAAAATGCTTTTGTTTAAACGTCCACATCCATAAAATTCTTCTTCCATTGCATTCTGGACGCAGTGTTTTTATGCCTGTGTGCATGAGCCCTAAAGAACACTGGTGTCTCTGCTGACACTTGTACACTACATTCAGTAGGCTCAGACAGGGATAAGCACAGTGACAGATGCTTGTGTATTTTTGTGCAATGTCTTACCTGGATGATTTTATCCATCGGCTGGGGAAAAAAACTTGTGATGCAAAGTTTGTTTGTTTTTCCCTTGTAAAGAAAAGTGTTGCTAATACAATTTAATTTTACAGAATTAGGCTATATACATCCAAAATGTTTTTAGTGTGACTGAGAAGAAATGTTCGTATATGGTCCTGTCATACATATTCAAAATCCTCAGTTAGCTAGCTCCTTTTATTCCGCAGCTGTTAGTGGTGTGGTCAAAGCAACCAAACAAAATTGAGCGTAATGAAAACCATTTTATCCAAAAGTGGGGAAATAAGTACTTCTGCAACACTAGTACTGAACAGAACGTTTTCCATTTCTGTCACATTACTTTATTTAAAAAGGATATGTGATTTACCTTTCTCTGCTCAGCTGGGTGCTGCTGATCTGAAGAGGATCTGTTATTGAGCCAAAGCTCAGGCAAGAGAATGTTATGTAAAATAAGGGAATGGCTCCTTTGAGGAATAGGTATTTATTTTCTGTAGTTATGTAGCACAGCATTACAGGGAACACACATTCAAATTAGTCTAAAGACACTCACAATCTAATGTCCATGCTACAGATATACTCAGACTGTTGGGAATATGGGGGGAGGCCAAATAACCAAGCAGAATGTATTTGGGTTGTGGCAGGAAAGTGGAGCACCTAGAAGGGACCCATGCAAAACGCATGGAGAACGTACAAATGCCATGCAGATAATAGTGCTGATTCACTGAGGGCCCATTCACGCCATGTCCGGATCAGATGCGGTTCGTTACATTTTTCTTCCGCACTAAAAATGCATCCGAATGCATTTGTATGTGATGTTTGGGCTCTGTTCACACCGTCCAGTCCGTTCCAGTGCAGGGGGGGAAATGCTGCATGTCACATTTTTCCTGCACCGGAACGCGCCACAAACGCACCGGAACGCAACAGAAGCTATGACATGGAGCAGGAAGAGATTAATTTGCATAATGACATTACCCACCCAAAAAACTATAAAAAACGCACTGGAACGCGTCAAAAACGCATTGCAGCGTGTTCGCAGATACGCGTGCAGATCTGGTCCGGACATGGTGTGACAGGGCCCTAAATGAGTAGAAAGATCTTCACTCAATAATTTGTAGCTGTGTTTTTACTTTGAATACCCAAACATATGCAGATGAAATAAAGAGTTTACTTTTCACATGATTGGATAATTGAAGTGAATCTTCACCTGATGTATTTAGGGAAGGTTCTCAAATCTTTTAGTAAATCAGTCTTAAGGTGGCCATACACTTTACAACCATCGCAAGACCTTAGTCTTGCGATGGTTGTAAAGTACTTAAAAAAACGTACGATCTGCCCATCTTGGACAGGCAGATCGTACTTGCGATCATCGCAAGCCCGCCCCCTTGAGGGGCGGGCTTGCGATGACTGCAATGAGGGGCGGGCTTGCAAGGACGGCAAACGGGCAGTGTGCGCTTGCGCACACCGGCCCGTTCGTCAGTTGTCGAACCAGCAGGCCACTCACTCGCCGAGAATCGTACGATTCCCGGCGGGTTTTCTAGCCTGCTGGGTCGACGGAAGACGTGCGACCGTACAGTAGAAACGGTCGCACGCCTTCCATACACTGCACGATTCTCGTACGATCGCGGGATTTCCAGCGATTCTCGTACGAGAATCGTGCAGTGTATGGGCACCTTCAGTGTTCCATGCAGAATGTGAACTCAGGATCCAGAACGGCAAGGCAAGAGAGCTAACATATCTCTATGACTACACAAAGGACTGAGATGGGTGTGTCTGTAGTATTGACATTTCTAATGTTGGGCACACACCTTACAACCACCGCAAGACTTGTCTTGCGATGGTTGTAAGGTAATTTAAAAAATTTACGATCTGCCCATCTTGGACAGGCAGATCGTATTTGCGATGATCGCAAGCCCGCCCCCCTGGGGGGTGTGCTTCCGATGACGGCAATGCTGAACATGCCACACACCCACCAACAATCGTACGATTCTCGCCGGGTTTTCGAACATGTTCCTAAGATAAAAGTCATGCGACCTTGCAGTAGGAGAGGTTGCACGCCTTCCACACACCTTGCGATAATCGTACAATCGCGGGATCTTCTGCGATTATCGTACGACTATCGCAAGGTGTGTGGGCACCTTAAGACTGCATTATTGTATACATTTCCTCTGATCTCCATTAAGACTAATTTTAATTGCCTCTACACACATGCAAGAATTACTTTGTGCACCATGGGAACATAGTTGAAGAAGAAGGCCTGTTTGGTAATTGAGACTTTGATAGAGAAATTTGCCCTCGCATCCTGTCCTGTTGACCACAGTTTCACCAGACAGGAAGTGAGGGAATATCTGCAACAGGGACACATACAGAAATAATAATTTAAAAAAATGACAGGGGTTCTAGCCTTCCCCTACTCTACTATTGAAAAGGATTTTTGTTTCTGTTGCTATTGGCGATTTACCCTCAATTACGGTCTGGTTAAACTTTGTCAGCAGGGCAGGTAATGAAGGTTGATTTCTTTACCAGAGCCCTGGATAGCAGTAAAAATCTGTCAGGGATTCTAACTTGTTCCCACTCTAACAAAACGAAAAAAGACATTTCCGGGTGGACATACCCTCAGGATCTATCTGAAATTCTGTGAGCGGGATTTGTCAAACCTTGCACCAACAGAATTCTGTTTTGCTTTGCAGTTACTAATTAAAGTTGAACTCTGCAAAAGAAAATATTGTCAAGGAGCACGTGTGTTGTTATTTGAATCTTGGTGTGCTTCGTGTATTTCTTCCAGATCTTTCCATTAATGCAGTGTGAAACTTTACCATGGTGCAGGAGCTTCCTGTACTAAAGACCGGTCACTGCCACTCTACCTCATTGTACAGCATGCCTGGTCTTGTATCTGCCCCCTCCTGTAGTTTTCTCCAGGTGTTCTATCAAAGTCTGTGACTGTATTACAATGTGTGACCGGTGACATGGTCACACATTTTATGTGATCCCGCCCACTTTGTCTCCGGTGGAATGTGTGACCGGTCACGTGGCCACACATTTTATGTGATCCCGCCCACTTTGTCTCCGGTGGAATGTGTGACCGGTCACGTTGACACACATTTTAATGTGATCCCGCCCACTTTTTCGTCAGTGGAATATGTGGCCCGCAAAAAGTGAAGAATACCAGCTGTTCCAGGGCAGATCGGCATCGCAGATGGTATGTGCAGGAGAACCGATCTGCTCTGGAACAGCTGGTCGGTCCTGAAATGGCACTTTTATCCGACTTTGTGACTGTGATCTCACATTCCACAAAGTCGTATAAAAGTGACATTTCAGGACCATCAGCTGTTGCAGGGCAGATCGGTTCTCCTGCACATACCATCTGCGATGCCGATCTGCCCTGGAACAGCTGAGAAATCGTTGGAATTTTGCCGGTCACATATTCAACCTCAGAAAAAGTGGGCGTGACCACGTGACCGGTCACATTCCAACCCAGGCACAATCTTTGATTGAACACAGGTAGCCTGTAGTGGGTGGACCCTGTTGGGGCCCCTCCCACAGCTCTGCTTTCTGCACATGCTATGTACTGCTCAGTGTTGATGTCAGTCCACATTTTGCAAGGTAATAAATCGTTGGCAAAGGGATTTGGTGCACACAAAGTGAACCTGTATCCTTTGCAGCTATTGAGCAATATATTTAAAGTTTTTGTGCCTGGAGTTCAGCCTTAATCTATTGGTTTTGAATTCTTGTTTTTTCATTACTTGTTTTGTGTCTGACACTTTTTTCATAATTGATGTACACTTAACTGACAACAAATTGCATGCTCAAAGATTACCACTGTGTTTGATAAAATGACATCTGAGCAAACATATGATTGTCTATTTCTTGATCAGCTTTTCATTATTTATATTGCAGATGCCATGGACCAGTTAGAGCAACGGGTCGGAGAGTTTTTCTCTAATGCCAAGAAAAACAAGCCTGAATGGAGGGAAGAACAAATGACTGCTATTAAAAAAGTAAGCTGTAGGTCATATGTTGGAAAAGACCTAAGGTAGAGACCTGCAGTAGGTTGGGTACCTGCAGATTACTTAAAAGTATATGTATTTTGCAGGTAGCGTGAGTTTGTATTTGAAGCATTGTCCATGGCACTGCTCCTTGGGTGCGTTAGAACTTTTCTGAAGGCCATCGTTTTCTGTTTAAAGAATAACTATAGTCTTTTGTATTTTTTTTTCTTTTTTTTAATATACATGTGCAAAATTAATAAGCCTTTAATGTATTCAAATCTTGTATGCATAGGTTCCTGCGGTGTGTGTGTGTCTGTGTATAT